GGGAAGGGGCAAAAACTGCTTTCTTATTTTCACATTTTTCATTTCAGGGGGTAAAATCTTTTCCAGAAATCCTCAACATACTTACTCCTCCATCTCACTGGCTAAAATCAACTCACATGACCACCCCTGACCAACCTCTTGCACAGGGAAATAGGACTGACAGGATCAACAGTGACCAGTCACTATTCATCTCTTTGCTAAGAGAGCAGGACAACTGTCCAGACATCCGCCCTCTCTGAGTGTCTGGGGTGAGGCCCATCCCCAGTCTCGGGAGGTGAATCATGACTGTCCTCATGGGACATGAGGGAAAGTCTCTTGGGAGGGCTCTGGATCAGATCTATGGTGAGACTGTTGAGCTGTTCATTTAACCAATCCAGAACGTGACCTACCTCCATTCTTGTTTTGTGAAATAATAAATCCCCTTACTGAGTGAGCCATTTTGAGCTGGGATTCTATTACTTGCAGCTAAAGGCATCCTCACAGATACATTCCTGTAACGCAGGCAGAATTTGCCCTAAGGCAATACTTTCCACACTTGCCTTAAGGCTTCAAAGACAGAGGGCACGGGGCCTGCCAGCTCGCTCTGTCCTTCCAAGGTCCGTCCCAACTCCAGCCTTGTCTCTAAGCCTTTCCCCGCATGCCCCACCAGCTACCCTGCCCTCTTCTGAACCCTGTGGCATTTGTGTACATCCTTCCCATTGCTCTTTCCAATTCATTCAGTGTGTGTTCAGGAAAGCCCTGCACATTCCAGGGCTGTGCCAGGTGCTAATCTTAGGCCGGTGACCACGCCCAGGGCCTGCCTTCAGTCCTGTAAAGTCCCCTTGGTTACACCCTGCCTGGCCTCCCTCTCTTCCTTCCAATAGTCCTGTGTTGAAAGGCTTCCCTGGGCCAGACCTTGTGCAGATGAAGGAAAATGGTCCCTACCTTCAAAATGCACACCATCTAGCCGGGCCACCAGGGAGCAGGCTCGGGGCCACTAACACAGCCCAGAGGAGAGCAGGGACGGCGGAAGCTCTCCCAGACGGTGCCCACATGGAGCTGAGCACTAGCTCCTTCCATTCTCCCAACAATCTTGTAAGGGGCAGATGCTATTCTCCAATTCTGCAGGAGATGAAATCACTGCACAGAGATGTCAAGAAACTTTCCCTAGATCACACTGCCAGGCGGTAGCTGAGCTGGGATTTGAACCCACACATAACCTCTGCACCACGGCAGTACCTGCCCAGGCTCGGTGGCTGACCTGCCAGATCTCTGCTTGTCCACAGTGAGCTCCTTGCAGGCAGGGTCACCATGCTGCTCATCTGTGTCCCCCAGAGCACCCTGCACTTAGTGAGCACTAGCTGAATACGCCAGGAGATAATATTATCTCCTACATGTGAATATTGACTGAGGAGCTCCTCTCCTCTTCCTGTGTGCCTGACATTTACTAAACTCCGTGCTACGCACTTTACAGGCTGTATTATCATTACCCACGTTTTACAGGACAGGAAGTGAAGCACAGAGCGGGTATGAAATGGAACCAAGTTCACACAGCTAGTAAGGGGAGAAGCTGGGCTGGGAACCCAGGTAGCACCCTGGCTTAATTCCTTACCGGTGATGACAGCGCAGAACAGCGTGTTCGGAGGCTTGCCTCACACTAACGCTCCTATGGAAAGAAACTTTCTTAGGCAGGGGATGTTAGAAGCTAGGAGGGCGAGAGGCATGGGGTCTAAGTCTAGCTCTGTGCTGTGATGAGGTAAAGTTAACCTTTACCCAGACATTTGCTCCAGAAAACTAGGGACATAGGAGTGGATGCACAGCCTGGCTTCAGGGAGTTTCCAGTTACTGAAAGGAGATAGAAAAAGTACAAATAAAACTTTGGCACCTTGTCTTATATGTTATGAAGGGAGCCAACAGTTGAGACAAAGAATAACAGCAAATGGCCGGGCCAGGGGTAGCTCGGGGGTCACCCACTGGTCAGCAGGGGCGAGGGTGGGGGACAGCCTCTCCAAGGAGGGGGACACAAGAGCTAAGACCTACAGGAAGGGAAGGCCCCAGTCCTTCAAAGGGGTCGGGAGAGGCTTCCGCACAGTGAGAACAGCACACGCAAAGCTTCCGAGGTGGGAAAATGCTGGGCTAGTGAAACTCACGTGCTGAGGGTTGAACCGTGTCCCCCTCAAATTCCTATGTTGAAGATCTAAGTCCCACTGCCTCCAAATGGGGCCTGATTTAAAGTCTCTACAGAGGTAATCAAGTTAAAATGAGGTCACTGGGGTGAGTCCTACACCCAGTGTCTTTAAGGAGGGAGATCTGGACGCAGATGCACATGGGGAGCAAGCCCTGTGAGGTGGCAATGGGGCTGCCGGCGACACCGGGGACACTGGGAGAGGAAGGGGACCTGGAACAGAGCTGCTCTCAGCTCTCAGAAGGAGCCAACCCTGTAGCCACCTCCATCTCGAACTTTTGGCTTCCAAACTCCGAGCCAATACATTTCTGTTGTTTAAGCCATTCAGTTTGTGGCACTTTGCTACGGTAGCCCTAGGAAAGCTTCATGTAGGTGGAGGAGAGGGGAGTGGTATGAGGTGAGGTTGGAAGGGCAGGTCAGGGCTCCGGGGAGACTTTGGCTTTTACTCTAGGATCCAGGAAAACAACTGACTGGTCTCATAACTGTCGTACGCAGGGCAGTGATGCTTTGTAGAGAATGATTTGGAAGGGAGCAAAAAAACAGTGGAAAGACCAGCAAGGGAGCCACTGCAGTTACCCTGGGAGAGAAGACGGCGACTCGGGTCAAGCAGTGGCCAAACGGGTGGAGAAGATAGAGGAAGTTCCATAGACATTTGAGTGCCAGGGCCAGCGGGTCCTGCTGATGGACAGTGAGGGGGAAGAAGGGAGGAATCAAGGCTGGATGCCTAGATGTATGAGATGGTTCTGGTTTTTTTTTTCCTTTTTTTTTTGAATTGAAGTCTAGTCAGTTTACAATGTTGTGTCAATTTCTGGTGTACAGCGCAATGTTTCAGTCATACGTGTACATACATATATTCGTTTTCAGATTCCTTTTCATTAGAAGATATTGAATATAGTTCCTTGTGCTATACTATAAATACTGGTTTTTTATCTATGAAGATGGTTCTTATTTTGAGTGAAAAGACCAGAGCTGGAAGAGGAGGAAGATTTGTCAGGGAGGATGAAAGAATTCCTTTCAAACACGTGAAGTCTGAGACACAGATGCCACATCCCAATAGAGACATCAAGCAAGCAGATGGATCTGTGAATCCAGAACGCAGAGCAGGGTCTAGGCCAGGGGTAAAAATTTGAGGATTTGACTGCATCAGGATGGTCTTTCAAACCCCAGAGGTGGTGAGCTCACCTAAAGAGAGAGGAGAAAGAAGAGGAAGGCCAGGACGGAGCCCTGAGCATCCCCTGCTTTGAGGGGCTGATGTGACTGAGGAGGGGGCAGGACTGCTGATGTGAGGGAGATACCAAGGCCCGGGGCAGCCAGGCCAGTCCTGGAGACCGGGAGGGCCCTCCTGAGGAGACAGCGTTTGAAGTCAGGCTGCCTGCACACAGAGCGGTCGGCTTGGGGAAGATTGAAGCTGTTAGAAGGAACAGAAGCAAAGACCAGTGTGTCAGTTTCACACAGTATCACAAACTGAGGGGGCTGAAACGACAGAGGACGGTTCTCCCATGGTTCTGGAGGCCGGAAGGTCAAATCAAGCATTGAAACAGCCCTTGCCTCCCATCTCCTTGTTCTGTCTCACTTTTCTTGCCTGTTATCTGAAATTGTGCACAGTTGTTTGTTTTCAGGCGAGCTATGCTGGGATGGTTGTATTCACCATCACATCCTCAGAACCTAGACAGTATCTGGTACTTGTAGACCCTCAAGTTCATTGCTGAAAGAACAAATAAACCGTATTAAAAAAAAATATGCCTAGAAAATCCTGGAAGAAATAATGATTTCCTGTATTGGGAAAAGAGTGCTCTCAATTTGCCTCTATTTTTCTGCTTTAAAAATAAAACATCCTATCTTGGGGGAGATGGAAATGTTCTCCATCTTGATTTGGGCAGTGACTACATAGATGTAGACCACCGTCAAAACTCGTCCAACAGAATGCTTAAAAGCTGCATTGTATTGTGTTAATTATATCGCAATAAAAAGTTTAAAAAACATACAAACATACTCGTATATTTTAAGAGACAAAGATCTTGCTGTTTTACAGCATTTAGAACGTATAACTGTAAACAGGATAAAATAAGTGGAGATGTGAAAACGTAGCAGACATAGATATTGAATCTATATCGTAAGTTAAATGTGACTTGTGATAAAGTGAATATAAAGAAAAAGCTCTTGGAAGATATTTGCACACACACACACCAGTTTATACGTCCCAAATTAACACTGCTTCATAATATCACTCAGTAGTTTATGAAAATCTTGTTCTAGGCCCTCTCTCTCCCCTGTTTATTCTGTTAATAAATTGGAGCCACACATTAAGCCGATCCCTCCAGAATCTGAAGTTTCCAGTTACCGTTTATGCCTGTTTGACTGTGCCTCTGGGGGCAGTAATGGCGTCTACACGCTCAAAGGAAGGATTCCTTGGGGTCTAGATAGTTTTGTTCCAGAAGCAACTTTTCCAGCTGGGGAAGCACCTCTGCTCCCATGAAGCTGGATATAAAAGAACAGAGACTTTAGCTTCCTTGGTCAGTGTGGCCTGGGCTCCGAGCCCTGCAGGGTGGAGGGGCCATGGAAGGCGACAGAAATGAAGCCAGCCCTCGGGTGTAGCCGGGGTGGGGCGGGGTGGGTGGGGAGCCCTGGCATTGTTTTCTTCCTCCTTTATCTGCTCTGGCTCAGGCCCTGCTAAAGTGGGAGAGAGGGCAGGGAGAGGTTGGAAAGTTCACAAGAGAGTGGGTGCACAGAACCACGGTCCTCACACAAAAGTAGTCTTAACTCTGTACTCGGCTCTTTTCCCAAAGCAACCACAAAACAGGGTCCACTGTCCCCACCTGAGCGGAGCCTTAGAGAGGAATGGTGAGGAGCCCAGATTCAGGGGTCAGACAACGCTGAAATGGAGTGCTGCCCCAGCTCGTGTCAGCTCGGGGACCTCAAGCCACGGCTGAACTGTACCCCCCTGAGCCTCGGTTTCCTGATTTGTAAAATGGGATACCTCTACCTACCTCACAGGCTGGCGCTGAGGGCTGAACGAAACAGTGTAAAGCAAGCACTCTACACAGTAACTAGTCTGGGACTTGGTTTGCAATTCAAATGCGAGCTAGACTTGGAATCCAGGGTCAACAAAGAGGACTTGCTTCCGCTTCTAATTCTCAGCAAGAGCAAGGTGCCTCTATCAGCTTTGGGTCTCACCAAGTAAAAGAGAGGTTTCAGGTCTGCCCTCTGGGCTGCCTACCTGGGGTAACGAGCTGGAAAAGAGGTCTCTCGTGGGGATGTTCTTCTAGTCTACTTGGGTTCACACCAGAGAACAATCATCCAATCAGGGCTTTTTTAGCGTCAATTACCTCCCTTCCCACAAGAATGTTCTCTCAGAAGGTGAAAAGAAAACTCGTTTTAAGAGTTCACCAAAAAGGCAGCTCTTTCCTGAGGGCTGACAGAGAAGAGAGGAGGTACTTGGTGTGGGTTATCTTAGGGGATTATTCTGGTCCTGAAAAGCAGCGAAACATTCTGATTTACAACTGTGAGGGGCAAAGGGGCTGCTGGGAGGAGAGAGGATCCCAGCATCCCAGAAAAAAAGGAACAGGAGAGAGCTTTAGCCTGACTCTGGCCAAACAGAGCCAGGAATCTCGCCAAAGAGAGAGTGCAGGATTGGCAGCAAGCAAGCGATCCTGCATAGACTTTTAGGAAAGATTCTGGGCCACAGCACGGGGCCTCCTCGCTCGGGGCCAGGAGAGTTCTGGCAGCAGCCCCCGGCCCGGGCCTGTTCCCACATAATTGAAGTCGAATGTGCTGGGGGGAGGGCGGCCGGAGGCGGCAGAAGCTCAGCGTTCTGCAGTTGGCCCTATTTGGGATCAAAGCCAGTCAGTGTTGATTTTCCGCAGCATGGAAACAAATGCAACGAAAGCTGTTTTCCTGCGGCCTGCGTTTTGAAAGGCGGCTTTTTGTTTTTTCCCCCAAGGACAGGTGGAGCAGGGAGGTGGGGGAGCTGTGACGTGGCTCTTCTATTGCGGTCCCTTTGGCAAACCGTTTTGGGCTCATAGTTTCCGAGTGAGCAGAAACTAATCAGAATGTGTGAGTGGGCATAGCTACGATTAAGGCTAAAGTCTTTCACAAAAGATAATTCCTGGAAAATGCTGCTAGAGGACCCGCTGGCTGTGTGTGACAAGTCACAATTTGCTCTGTTAGAGTGTTTCCAAGAGAGCAACTCTCCTGATTCCTCCTAAAATTTTCCGTTTCTCCTTCACTTCCAGGTCTTTGTCCGTGATCTGTTCCTCTGCCCGGAAATTAGTTCCTTCTTTTTCGGTTAGCACTGCAGTCTTTTCGTGTTAAGCATTATGGTAATGATGTAAAGTGATTCACGCAAGTTTCCTAAGTGGTGGAAACAGCCTCGTTCTTTTGATGGCACTAGGCTTCTCCCAGTCCTCTAGGGAAAGTCTGAACTTTGGGCCCATTGGGCCAGATCCAAGGGACTGAGAATTCAGAACCAGGAATTGATGCAGCTGTAGGGATCTCAGTGTGCTTTCTCTTTAAATGAGGAAACAAATGTACAAGGAGGTTTGGTCTGGGACCTGCTGCTTCTTCCAGGCAAAAGATGGCCAAAGACTTCTTCACCGAGGCCAAGTCAGAACTGTTTTTCCTATTTGACACTTATGTTCAGTGTGCTATAGGTTCATTTTTTTCTTTTGAAGAAGAATTGCACAATCACTCGTGTTACTCTAGATTTATCCTGGGTGTCATACACCTTCATCATCCAAGACCTTGCAGGTGATTTCACCCTTTGATTGACCGCGCCCCCCCCATCCCTGGACAAGCCTTTTGGCATTTATTCCAAGAGGCTGGATCTGAAAGGAGTTTTGGGGTCAGGGAATTTAGAAAATGGTCTGAAAAGAAGCAAAGCTGCTTTTGATCACTCTGTGTGCTTGGCAATTAGCCTTGGAGTGACAAATGTTATCTGCACCAGCGCAGCTCCAAGCCAAGTACCAAAACCACATTTTGTAGATGATTCCAGGGAGAAGTTTCTGATCCCAAGGAGTTCAACATTAGGGGCCAAAGACCACAGTCATCTCATATAAAACAACAGAGTGGTCATCTCTTCCTGACCTTCCTTCATGCAGCAAGAATGCAAAATCCAGATTAAGAACCAACTCACAGTCTCCTAAGCTTCCAGAATTACAGTAGGGGACTGCTCAGTGTTCATGGCAAGTATACTAGCTACAGTGTTTCTGAAATAGTTTTGGCCTCTTGAAGAACAGCTTTCAAAATTGACGTCTGACAGAATCTACTGTCCTTAAGTGACTGAGCCTTCTGGGGAGGCATGTGAGTTTCAGGGATGCAACGTAAGAAGGGTTGGTATCAGGTGGTAAATGGTGGCTGCTTCCTTTACCAAATGAAAAGAGGGTGGTAAAGGCACTGATTATGACATTAATTAGGCTAAAAGAGGCCACAAACCTTCTCACCCCCAAAAAAGGTAAAAAAATAAAAGAAGCCTTTTACAACTTCCCTGCAGTCCCCACATGCACAAATGCAAAGAATGCTTTTACGCATGTGCGGGGCTGACTGCAGTACCGCGTTTGAAGGTGGGAATCAATTTCACGTCCTCGCAGAGGAGCCACTTGGCTTTGGCTCTGGGTAAAACTCAGGGTTCCTAAAGGGAAAGCCTTTTCTCCCAATTACTACTTCACTCTTTACTGTCATTTACAATGTTTAACTTTAAAAGCTACATCTGTTGGTGTACACAGATGTTCTAGGACTCCCATTTCAGGAATTTTCACAGGCAAGAATGAAGACTGGCCAGCAGCAGAGGCCTGCCAGAGAACACTTGGTGGCTTCCTAAACTCACTTAAGGTGCTGGCCAGGTCTCTGGGTTGTTTAGATGCCCCCAGCACAATTAAAGAGCAGGAGCTGGGTCCTAAGAAATTCCTGAAAAATTTCTCCTCTGCTGCTAGGAAGGAAGTTACACAGCAGATTCACTGCGACAGTTAAATCAGCATTATCCTGGAGAGAACAGAGTAACTTTCCTCAAATGTTGTAAGAGTGACTTTCCTTTTTGAGATAAGCCCATGGACTTGATCACAACAAGCCAAAATCTGCCACCAGCAACGTGGCACCGTACGCAGCAGCCAAATCTTATGGGTTATTTTGTAGCTTGTGGATCCCGACTGCACTAGAAGAGGGGTTTCCAAGTGATGACAGAAGGTGGTTCTTTGCGACTTGCCAAGTTCTCCATACTCTACTGGCTGGCTGTTTGAATCAGTTTCTTAGCCCTTTGGATGAGGACAACCTCACCGAGCAAGCAGGGAGGGGGAAGTCGCTTCAGGGCTTGATCTCACCCAGCGGGTCCTAACAAGTCACACCTGTGGCAGTTTCCAAAAATGAAACAGCCTCAGCTTGGTGTAGGGCCTGGAAAAATGCCTCAGGTGTAGACACTGACTGCTTTTAGTTTGCAAAAGAATTGTGTGTCTTCTCTGACCCCACGCCTCCAAATTCAGAGAATTTTCCCTGTTCTGTGTCCGGTTCAGCTATTTTCCCTTGGATCATTCAGGTACAAGCTCCCAAGCAGACGTCAGAGAGACACAGATTTCACACGGGGCAGAATCATTTCCAAGTTGGGTTATTTTAATGCAATTTCACTGTTCAAGATAGTCTGGATATGTTAAGTGGTTCATTTCCATCCTGCAGAAAACACTAACAGCTTCTATCTTAAGGAATTTTGTCAAATTCAAACATGACTGTGACTGGTTTAAAAAAAATTTTTTTTTCTTTACGTATCTTGAGATTTTTTTTCAAAACCTTCAAGTAGTTTGGAAACATTTGCCTATCTGCTCATTCCTCTGGGCACAGCCCTTCAGAGCACTTATCCCACCTGTACTGAAACTCTTCTCCCAGCTGGGCTGCCTGATGGAGGTGATCACAGAGATGAGGAGCGAGCAAGCTTTGTAAACTACTTCCGGTTCTCTTGCTTCGTATGCTACCATCCACCCCAGCTTCTGCAAGGTCAGACATGCAAGACAAATAATACTTCGCCAAAAAAGCAGGATTCTAACTAGTGTAAAAATAGATTTTAAATAAAATAGAATCTCTATAGGAAAGAGAATTAGGTTCTGCTTCCCACTCCCGTGCTTGCTTTAAGATATCTGTATACGTAAGTCCGGGGGGACTTACAGAGTTGGTCTGCCCTACGTAACAATTGAGAACGTCTGAGTACATTCATGTTGCCAAGTTACAGGTGAGGTCCTCTGGGAGACGCTGCAGCGCATCCCACAAAAACGGACGGTGATTAGGGATACAGTTGGTGTGCTAACAAGTAACATGTAAGACATTTAGGTCGGAGAGGATGAGGCCTAATC